GAGCAAACGCGTGCCCTTCTGTTTCACAATTCGTCCCCCAAAAATAACTGTCATGTACGTTTTAACATTTTAAACCTTATAATAGTTGTTTTTGCTTTTCTGATAACGTTAAAATCACGCTTTTATCGCATCATGTATCGCCTTTATGCTGATTATGGAATCGACAAAAACGTCCTCGCTTACTTCAATTTTCTTTAGCGAGAGTGAAATGTGATAATAAAATTCATAAATAATGACCACACTGTGTTATTATGGACAAAATGTTACCGTACTGTTACCGTTATTTACGAACTTGTCAAGTTGAGTATATCGTTCCGTTACCTATTTTCGAACTTACCCCCCCCCCCTCCCACAAGAAAAAAAAATGGCGTTTGTTTTTTAAAGGGTTTGTTCATGGTTTTATTCATTTATACTGATTATGAAGTCGAAATAAACGCCCTCGCTTACTTCAATTTTCAGTACTCCCGTAGTATGTGAGCCGAAACGGCGGACACCGGAACGTAGTATGTGTACCAGGTTACGGTTAGGCCATATTTTTTTTCCAATTTTCCTTATTCTAGTTCTATTACGGGTTCAGGGACAAGTCAAATGACTCTCTTATTATTTGTACCTGAAATTATGGCCCAACCTTAACCTGGTACACATACTACGGTCCGGTGTCCGCCATCTTGGGTCACATACTACGGGAGTACCGAATTTTCCTCAGCGAGATAGACTTGTGATAATTATGACCACGCCGTGTTATTATGAACAAATTCGTCTAATCCTCTCGAGTATTTAGATTATACAGACCACCCATATATCATAAACAAGATCAGATAAAATTGAGTCGATAATCGATTTGAGATCTATTTTGACTGATTGTACATGATTGACAATTTGAGTTACGAGTCCAATTGACTTCATTTTAATTCGTGATCCAATTTGTAGCGTGAAATTACCCTTTAGTGGAGTTATGAATCGTGCTTGGCCGTGTCTGTTATACCCTATATTCGCGATATCTTTTTGATTGCATTTCGATCTGTCATTTCAAATTAATTATATCTGTCACTGAATTTGAGTAATATTTGTATTTTTTCCAAAACAGGCTAAATCAGCAAAAATTTCGCAAAAGGATTTAGTAATGCAAAAGTATAGAGCACTGGTTTCCAATCGAGAAATATCAATCCGTTATCGAAAAATCTGCCATCGTTTAGAATTTGTCATAAAATGATCAAATGTGTTAAAATTCACGTTGAGAGATAAGTATGACTGGATATATCGGTCTATCGCTCACGTTAAGATCGCTCATGTGCACAAAACATTGATTGAATGTAAACGTGCCCTTGGTGTAATTTAATATTCATAAAGGCGCTCCACCAATATGGAGGTAACTAATTTTGTTCGCCTACTTTACATCAAGTTGGGTAAAGTGACTGAAACTTATGAGTAGGAGGTATATTCACTTGGTTAACACAGACAGCCCCCGGAACTCGTAACAGAAATTAAATGAGGAAAATCGGAATAAAATTATGGTATACCCCTAACATGGTACACACACTACGGGAGCACTGAAATTTCTTCCCAATGCATTGTGATCTGTATTACAAAACGCATATGTGATTGATAACTTACTTGACATATTCAAGTGCATGCATCTTAAGCAAACAACTGGCTAACTAATCCCATACTCCAAATGAAGTCGCAACCGCCCTCTTTCGACATATGATTAAGCCGTTCTAATCGACTTTGCCTCATCGGGATAAGTACATATCGTTAGATATCCGTGGTCCTTGTATACGGTAAATTTGTAATGTAGTATGCTCGCAGTAGCAAAAATTGTATAGCCCGTGTCAAACTTTAAACGTTTCAGCGCTCCCCAAGTATGTGCATGAAGATGGCGCACAACCTGAACCCTGACCTGGTACAACCACTATGTTCAGGTTGTGCGCCTTCTTGGTGCACATACTTCTGGAGCTCCAAGGTTTCGGTCACATCAAGCTCCGATTACTTAAAATGATAATTTTCAAATAGGATTCGATAGAATTTACATATTTTTCCTGAAAGATGGGGAAGCCGATAATACGGCTTGATTCTATCCTTGTTCGGGCCAAGATGCGTGAACATGCATCGCATAAAAGAAAATTGCGAGAACCTCTGGCATAGATAGTCATTTCTTCTGACATTTTACACGTCATGGTCCCGTGTAGAATTGTATTGGTCAATTATGGGAATCGATTTGCCAATAACAGCGTTAGATACCCTAATGTATTGGCGTTGCGGATTTACGACAGTAAAGACGATAATTGTGTGACTAATGGGAGTGTAATATTTTGTTTAATATCGATGGGTGCGATTGCCTAGTGCAACATTCCTCGCCCTAACCCCAACGCGAGCTGGATAATTACTAATTATTTACTTTAAAAACGTGGCGGTGATGTTTTTCTGAAATCTCGAATTTTTGCGTTAGTACAAAAGATCCGTGGTTTCAACCTGCAATTCTAAACGTTTATCAGTCGAACGTTCAGTCGGCCGTAATCCCGTAGTGTGTGTACTAGGTTATGGTTAGGCCATAATTTTATTCCGATTTCCCTTATTGGACACGTGAGTGGACCTATGGATCGTTTTCATATTATGTTATTGATGTTGTTGTTCTTCTTCTTGTTTTTTTGTCACAGAAAAAAACCACTTTTCTGTTAGATTACTGGACCAATTGCTTTTCGCTACAAGGTTATTACTTATTATTTATTTCAAATACACCGTTGAGCTGAATGGAATTCGTTTTTGTGTGTGCCATGACGTCATCCGAATTTGCCACTGTGTGGCGCTACGTGTCCATATATTTGAGCATAGCTCTCTTATTTTAGTTCTATTACGAGTTCGGGTACTGTCTGAATGAAAAACGAAATTTTTTCTCAATGCATTGTGATCTGTATTACAAAACGTATATGTGTCGTGAGCTTCATAACTCACTTGACAATTTTGCCCCACGATGTTGTCATGCTTATAATTCCAACGCTACCACTTTGCACCCAAGATGAAACGAATCGAACCTGTTGCTGTTGATTTATTCAAAAGAAAAACATTTGTATCCATTATCCGTCAATATCACTGAAAGCTTGTATAATAGAAATCCATTAACGCTAATTATTCGCTAATGCAAATGTCTATGTAGCTTATACATTATGTATATACAGGGTGTCCATAAAGTCCCTTTACAATTTCAATTTCGTTATGAAGTCAGTTGTCAATATATCTTAACAAGGTTTGTTGTATTTTAACCAGTAATAGTTCAAGTACTTTTACTTCATTTAATGCATCTGGGAGGGCCAAAACAATATATGGTATCGATATATTGCCTTTGCAATTTCCAAAAATGGTAAGACTTTATGGACACCTTATACATTTCCCTTTATTCCAAAGCAATGCAAGAATATTGAACCCGTACCAGGCGAATGGCTGGTGACGACATCGTGGAAAAGCCTCAAAATGACGATAATAAGCTATCACAGTTATTCTCAGCTTTTTTCGATACATTTCCCTCATTGCCTATTCTAGAACTCTTCATTCCCCTTCATCGCGGATAAAAACTCGTTAATGGGTCATTAGCTAGCTAGACTTTCGTACTGTTTTAATATTTTATAACTTGTGCATACATTTATTTTTGACCAGACAATCTATTGAAATCAAAATATCAGCGCTGCTAAGAAAATACAAAAAAAAATTCAATATCGGGATGTCTCCGGGTTGTAAGGAGGGTTCGAATCTATTTCGCTTATATGCATTATGCCATTGAGGTCTTGAACATGTATCCCGTCTCTTTTATACCGTTTAATTATTACGCAGATACTGTTACTGTTTTGAGGCAAATAAACATACATACATATACTCCCGTTTCGGCCGTGCATATCGCATTGTACCAAGTCACATGGCTATATGAACGAAAATTATCGGGAGAAGAGTTAAACGTTGAGTTAGCCTTAATTCGTTACAATAAAAATCCAGATGACAATGACTGGACATCACTACATCAAGAAATGAATAATTTTTATGAGTAGTCCTTTGTTTTGAGTGAGGGTATAAGTCCGATGAAATGGTTGGTGAACTATATACTGGGCACCCTGGTCTTCCTAGTATCAAAAGATCTTATTGCTAGCTTATTAGCTTGCATAAAAAATAAAATTGATATCATTAGTTTACCGATCGCTGTTCATAGATTGCGACTCCAGCGACTCAAATTTGTTGAAAAATGAATTTTGCAATATCTCGCGATCCAAGGATATACTAAAATACTGAGGGTTATGTAATGCTTATGCTTAATATTGTCACAAAAACAACTGACTAATATGAAACGGCCAGTTTTACATAACCCGCACCAAGCAATATAAATTATGTACCACTCATCCAAGCCAAAATCAATAAAATTCTAAACGAAAGAACAGAGTTAACTAGATAGTCACGCAATTTTCTAATAAACCATGAATAGAAACAAGCTGTCATGTGAATACTCAACTGATTATAACACTCGCCATACGGCCAGTCTTCTGGAGAAGTAATATTTCTAAACTCTAAATTCTGAAATCTGTTTTTGGCACGTTCCGGCTTTAATTAACAAAATAATTTTCTCAAATATCGATTGGTAACGGAATTATTTGAAGAGGAATGAAATAATGAAATAATCTAGGCAAATAAAATAGGACAAAAAAAAGTGCTACGGACTTCACTTTCATGGGCTAATGAATTTGTATAAAACCTAAAACGTTATTTGGACATTCAAAAAATGAAAATAAAAAAAATTCTCGCATGCCATTTAAGTTATTTCATATTTTTTGTGTTTCTCAATCCGAAAGAAAAAATTGATATTTAAAATCAGAAAAATAGACCTCTGACTTTGGTTGGACTCAGATGACCCCTGACCCGAGTAGAATTGCGATTCGAATTTAGGATCTTCTATATGACTGCTCGATACAACTCAGTTATTTAGTAATCAATAAAAACTAAAACTCAATTTTACATTTCAGGTTCGAAGCAGAAATATAACCGATATCTACGTTTTGAATCTCGCTATAGCGGATTTCATATTCGTTGCTATGCTACCGTTCTGGTCTACTGACATCGCTTTACATAGAAGGTATTTCAGATTTTATTTTCAATTTTTCCAAGGAAATTAATTGGCTTGGACGAATTGACTAATGTCTTGACTTGTGTAGGACATCAAAATTGACTGTTGTTGTTTTGAATCAGTTTAAGCGTTTTAGCAGGGTTCTTGGTGTTTTTTGACGGTTTTTCACTGTTTTTAAGCGTTTTAGCAGGGTTAATTGAACCAGTGGTTCTCAATATTTTTGTTATGGCCTAGTTCCGTGGCACAAAAATTCTGTGACCTATTACTTTCTAATGCAAGGAAAAAACTAAAAAAATATATACTTGAGCACACAACATTTATCAATCAGTCATTCTTAAATATTGTACGCAGAATTTTTCAACGTTTTGGTGAAGTGCTTGTAAAAAATCATTCTTCTCCACAGTTTGTGGTTCAATCGCATCTGAAAGGACCTACGTAAATTGGTTTACACAATCATCATATAATTTTAATTTCTAGATGGGTCTTCGGAAATGCAATGTGCAAGATCGTGACAGGCAGCACTTATTTCCACATGTATGCGAGTGTTTTCTTTCTGACTGCGATGTCAGTCGACAGATTTGTGGCAGTGGTGATGTACCAGTCTTGCAGAAGGTGAGTGGCTCACAATAGAAGGTATTTAAAGGGCGCTCCTGAAGAGTGTGAACCAATATGGAAGTAACTAATTTTGTTCCCCTAATTTACATCAATTTGTGTAAAGGGACTGAAACCTATGGGCAGGGGTATATTCACTTGGCTAACATAGACAGTCCCAAACTCGTAATAGAACTAAAATAAGGAAGATCGGAATAAAATTATGGCCTAACCCCCAACCTGGTACATATACTATGGAAGTACCATTTGAAGAGGGTTGTAGTGAGAATTTGTTTTATTTTCCTTGAAAAGCTCTTGTGCTTTACCTATTGAAAGCTTAGTGCTATCGCCTTCTTTAAATGATGTATTAGGTCTGCAGGTGAGCAGGCATAAACACTGACATAAGCAAACTACTGTCCGCTGGCCAGATCAGGCTCGTTGCGTCATTCAATCTGGCCCGCCTGGTGCTTCCATAACCAAACTGAAGCCAAATTTTGATGTTTCAGCTGAAGGAATTTTTTGAGATTGCGATTTAATTTTGTTTTGGCACAAGGATTATTGTTTTCCACTTTGTTTTTGTAACACTGTGAATATTATTCATGAAATTCGATATTTACGTCACGCTTACATGGCTGGCGGGCCAACTTTGTGGCCCCTGCCCTAAAATTCTTACCCACGACTGTCTAACACCGGAATCTCTTGCGGGAAAAAACCTGTTGCGCCGACCTCTTAATTTTGTTACCAATCTACACATTTTGCTACTGTCAAAGCTAACTTTACCCACTTGTTGTGATTCTGCCAAGATTGAGTTAAATTTAAAACTGTAAAATAATGAATATTTTGCGAGAAACACCAATTTTGAGACTTTGGGTCTAGAAATTTGTATCGAATACCGCTCTTTAGTTAAAAACAACACTTAAAATTTCGGGCGCTCAAGAAGTATGTGTACCAATATGAAGTCCTAATTTTGTTCGCCTACTTTACATCAAGTTGTGTAAAGGGACTGAAACTTTTGACAGGGGGTATACTCACTTGGCTGACAAAGACAGTCTCCAAACTCGTAATAGAAGTAAAATAAGGAAAATCGAAATAATATCATTGCCTAACCCTAACCTGGTACATATACTACGGGAGTACCGAATTTCGGACTAGGAAAAACACTTTTATTCACCAAAAATTTCAAAATTGAATTTAATTGTCATTCAACCGGAACAATCCAGTACTGCCACGAAAACATTTTTCTGGTTTCACTGACGACGATTGCTTTTATGACAAACAAAGTAATTTTGCAAATCAAGCGCCTACTTTTTATTACATAACAAAGTTTGAACAACTAATGTTCGATATGTCACAAATGTTTCAGAAAATAGATTGTGATAAAACAGTCCAATTATTAAAATACAGAATATTTGCTAATACAAACACTTCGCTTAATTTGAAACACTACAAAGTGGTTATCGGCGGGCTTTTATTGTATATACACGTAGCGTGAAATTCACGTCATGCTAGTACTATAGCGAGAGATCTGGGTTACATTTTCCATCGCTAGTGAATATCGCTTATTTTTAATCCACATTCTGAAACGCCATAAAATTTTATATTCTCAGTGAGTGGTGGTACTTTACTGATCGCCCGTAACTTCGCTCAGAAATTACAATATAAGCATAGCTGGTTTAATTTCATACCCAACCCTGCACATGGTTTGCCAAATGTTCAGGCCATCTTATCGGATTTCCTCTCGTCAACACGAATGTGAAAAAAACACAATTCACGCAAAATTATTAGCAAAAGTTTTTGGTCTACTTCTCGGTAACATTCGATTTTTGCATCATCGGTCGTGATCGAACGGAATATGGCAATAAGTTAGAAATAAGGATGGGTATTTGATCCCAATCGCAAATTGAATGGCCTCGTCCGTAGAGGGCAATTCGACTGCCATGTCGACAGTATGTTAGCAATAGGTAGAGTTACCATATATTTTTGACTTCAAAGCGGGACGCCTCCTGTAACTTTACAGTTTCCGATTTTACTACATAGACCTACATTTAAGCCATCCCGACTGTCTTCTTCGACCATATTGTCATTGAGAGTTCATGCGCATATTCTCTGTCTAAATATCGAGTTCAGTTCGAAAAATAGAAAGGAATAGACGCTAACGATACAGATGATCCGAATTTAGATTTTTTTATGTACAGCAAAAGGAACAAAGAATAATAAAATAGGCTGCCGTTTTTAAGCATTGAGAATTCACTTATTTTCCCAAGCATGCTTTTCTGTAGATAACACCTTTAACAAAACGTTTCAATGTTACATTCACGCAAACGTCCGAACAGGACCAATTAGAATTGATTCTACTTGTGATACGTTCGCTAACAATGTTAGTGGGAAACAACGAAACAAACAAAATAACGCATTCACATTCAGTAAGTAGGCTAGCGTTGCGCTACACAGCGACAACGGTAACGAGGACATGTTCGTGTATTATACTGGATGGCTGAACGTAAAAGCGGGACTTTTGGCTGACTTTGGGACGGCGGGACAAGACGCTAAAAAGCGGGACTGTCCCGCCTAAAGCAGGACGTATGGTAAGCCTAGCTATAGGTAAAAGACTATTACGATGCCATATAGACAGCAGATTAGTAATATGAAAATATATATGGTTCCAATCATTATTTGAATGGCCTCCATCCCAAGGGGCAACATATTTGAAATACTGATCAGAAAACAAAACTCAATTAGAACACGAAAGAAATGCTTCGACACACGGGGCTTGAAAATTGTGCATCGATACCGGTACGGCCTGAGAGCAACAAGTTTCCTACAATATTGACAGACAAACAATACACAATCAGAAGTGTTTCTTTTTTTTGAAAAGAAAACGTCAATTTTCGATGAATTATAGAATCCCATAGCACTCAAACGAAATTTGAATTCAATTTATAATTCAAAGCTTTCTGTCGGTTTATTTTATGTTTAAGGGATGAAAATTCGAGATCGATTATTCTATCAGTTAAGAAGAAAAACGTTTTTTTTTTTCAAAAACAACAACAATCAACCCCAGAGCATCAATGGGAATTTAGCAACGATTCATATGTGAACTACATTCCGATAATCTTAAAATCATATAATTTTGCGCATCTTTACAAACAGTATTCCAAGAAAACCGCCGAGTGTGAATTCAAACTGGTGTTTACAAGTAGAATCAACACAGTGACGATTATTTGATCCCTCTTCTATGGCACAAGTGCTCGTAAACAAAACTTTTGTCACTTCAGACGCTTTGAGGGGTTCATGAGCATCGTTGAGTGGCATTCCTATCAGTCGGAAACGTTAGTGTCGAGTTATTGCTGACTTTATAAGCAAAAATATACATAAGGAGTTTTGGGTGATTCAAACACAACATTCGACTCAGGGTCCGGTTAGACCTAACATGGGCGAACTGGGGTCCGCGAGCCAAATGCAGCCCGTTGGGTAATTCATTCTGGCCCGTCTGATGCTTTCAGAAACTAAAACTAAATTTTGATCATCCCTGCATTATAATGCATCCACAGGGCGCAAAACCTTAAAAAAGACAAAAGATTCGTTAGTCCCGCAGAAATTAAATCAATAGTGCAAGTTAGTTTTGGCAGTTAGCATTTGTTCAAAAAACTGAAGCAATACGAATCAAACCGTAATGTCCATCGCGCGCCAATGCCCCATCAAATTATTTCCCCACGGGGATTATAATTTGGTTGGATTTATTTTTGTGTAATTGCATTAAACATTGATGAATCGACATTTAATGTATATTCTGGCGTTAAGTAAACGGGTTTTGCTTTTTGGATGTTTCCGGTGGGCGTTTGGAAGGTGTGTAATATGATTTTTTTTGCAAAAATCTATAATTCAATTTCCTAATGGACGAAGTATGTTTATAAAAAATGCCAAATTACTCATGTCTATCCAAATTTTCAGTACATTAAATCGGGGTTTACATTAACTACTTTTAAAAAAATAATAAAATATACAGCGTGAACATAACAGAATATAGATCATTAGGAACAAGTAAAGAAGACATAATTTTTGTGCAAAGCAGAAGCATTAAGTACTTTCAAAATTAGGAATACCATAATGGCATTGGACGGCGCTCCAGAAGTATGTGTACCAATATGGAGGTAAATAATTTTCGCCTTTTTTACAAAAAGTTGTGTAAAGGGACGGAAGCTTATGGATAGGGGGTATATTCACTTGGCTAACACAGACAGTCGCCGAGTTTGTAATAGAACTAAAATAAAGAAAATCGGAATAAAATTATGCTCTAACCTTAACCTGCTACACACACCACGGGATTACTCATAATAGTATTGGTCTGATAAATAATAAGAAATATATTTCTTTCCACAAGATATATTTGTGATCTTTCTGTAGATCATAGTCGAATATCTTCAGACAAATCACGATAGAACTGTAAAGATAACAATTAAGTCAAGTTACTACAATAAAATTCTATAAACATTCAAATAGAATATTTTTAGTCTGTCTCATCATGGCTTCATAAGTTAATTAATATGGCTTGTTTGTTTATTTTGAGGTTGTTCCTTCCAAGTTGCTGTTTATCTTTTTGGTTCGTAATTGATTTAAATCATTTAAGAAAATAATATAAATTTCGATAATTTGAAACTAAAGCGTCATTGATTAGGAGAGAGCCTTTCTCCTTTTTTATAACGAACAAACAAGAGAGAGTGCAATTGACTGATATCGACTGAAAAGTTTCGTTGTATTCGGTATTCGGTGTTCGGTGTTTAATCTACTTTTCAATTGTCACTCACTACACTGTTGGATATTTTTTGATTGTAATTCAAATTTAGCTTCCCTATTGTTTTGTCACTTTCCCAATCTTATTTATTTATTTCTATCGTAAACAGACCCAACAATAGATATCATTATTTATATACATGCCATTGCGTTTCTTTCCACAGTTGTAAAATGCTTGTCTGAAGAAGTTTGACCTCGGTCAGACGAAACGTTACAGAAATACATTTGTGTTAGAGTGCAGCAAGACTCTTGAATCTAATAGAATGCTTAGAAGAGCTCGTATTTTATTTTTAACAATGCTTCCGTTGGCTCCGAACAAGATCGTGTACAATTGACCACTGATAACGACTGAAAATGACTCAAAAGTTTTGGTAATCTGGTATGCTATGCACAAAAATTATGTTTTTTTTTTTAAATATGTTCCAATTGGTCTGGGAGAAAAACGTCGAGAACTAAAAAAACAACGCCGTAGAACCAATTAACTAATTAATTTCACTGATGGCTGCATTTTCGCATGAAAACCTGGAGCGAAAATAAATCGAAATTAATATATAATTTGTACTAATGGAAATGCAGTGTCGTCTAATGAACTTGACCTTTTAAAAATGATGAAAAATGTGTTTATTGATCGTAACAAGCATTCCAAGCAATATTTGACTTTTTCAATTAAAAGATTACTAATGCATTGGAGAAAGAGTCTTTCTTCCTGTTTACTTATTGCTGGGAATCCGTACGACGTCAGTGACTAACTGATTCCCAACTACTTTTCCAACTAATATTATATTCTATGTTATTATTTAAGAAAAATTAGAATCATCTACATGGGGAGTTTTTAGTACTTAGAACTTTACTGAAAAATACTAAAATGACCCAATAACTAGAGGATATAGATAGACTATTTATTGGTTGAAACAAGCATTCCAAGCAATATTAGACTTTTCAATTTAGGATTACTAATGCATTGGGGTAAGAGTGCTAGGATATTGGGTAATGAACTACAAATCCTGCTTTCTTGTTTACTTCCTGCTCTGGATCCGTATGAGGTCATTGAAACAAAATACGTGAAATAGCAGTAGAGTGACAAGAATACCTCTATTTCTTGACATAAAATAGCAAGAATATTTGCCTTTTTATACTGGGATCAATGGTATATTTTGGCGAGAATTAGAATTTATGAATGGCACAACCTCACTCCTAGCAATGCACTTGACAAAGCAGCCCTAGTCCCTAGTTCAGTCCCCAGAAAAATCTTAAACATGATGCCCGGACCAAGTACACAAGACGTAAATAAATAAAATGTGATGACGTATTCTGGGTTACACTAAAAAAGTGACGCAGATTAAAAAAAGTTAGTATGAAATGCTAATTAAAACATTTAACGACTGACACCTTTTACCAGTATTGAATTACGGTGAATGCCATTTAAACATTTCACGACTGACGCTTTGTGACAGTCACTTTGTTTAACGTTGAAATGACAAAAATTTTTATCTTAATATTGCGTAACTTTTTAACACCCTGTATATGCAAGATTTCAGGACGAAAATAAATTTTCCGAATTTTGCCCAGAATTTTTTTTTCCACGATAGATCTCGATCTATCTAAGCTGACTGATAAATTAGGTTCTTGGTCAGTGGTTGTCAAACCTTCTTGTCAATTCGTCGAATCTCGCTTCAAAAAATAACTAGCTAACAAAACTAGCTAGCTACAAAAACAGATGGGAAGGCGAAATTATGTTTTGTTTAAAAAACACGATGAAAAAACGTGAATGGAACGTAAATATCCAAAATGAAGAAATGTAAATATCCTGAATAATGCGTGCAAGATATTTGAATTTTCGGTGCTCCCGAAGTATGCGAACCAAGATGGCGGACATCGGAACGTAACATGGGTAACAGGTTGGGGTTAGGCAATAATTTTTATCCAATTTTCCTTATTTTAGTCCTATTATCAGTTCGAAGACTAGCCAAGAGCCTCCCGTAGTATTTATGCCTAAAATTATGGCCTAACCCTAACATAGTACACATATTACAATCCGATGTCCGCCATCTTGGTTCGCATACTTCGGGAGCCCCAAATTTTCAATGAGCTTCACGCCCCCTCAAAAAATTGTGTACCTATTGTTAGACTAAACTTCATAGACCTTGCAGATGCAGATTACTCATCTCAAATCCAACACCCTCGCTTTACGTAGATTGCAATAAATTGGGTAGGCAATCCAAAAAGATTCCAGTTTTACAAATATAAGTAGCTCCTTATAGATCCCCAGATATACGTAGCTTTTGTGCAAAGATTCGTTCATAGCTAAAAGCATAAAAAAGCGCGGAATAAAAATATATTGTCAAAGACCGCAACCTAATATGAGTTATCCTAAGGGATTCAAAAGTTTTACTGCACGCTAACACAAATATATTTCTGTAAGGTTTCGCCTGACCAAGGTCAGACTTCTTCAGACATACATAGTTCAAACTATAACAAGAAAAACAGTTGCATGCATATTTAAATATAATATGAGTTAACTATATTTATTCGTTTCATCTTTTTAGAACAAAGGTGGCGGCGACAGTAGCTGTAGTGACCATATGGTTGTTATCAACAGTCCTGGGACTTGTTCCTCTCTTCTTCAGAGGAGTAGTGGATACAAACGGTAGGAAATGATTTTTCTTTAGTCTTTCCCACATTCCATTTCTCTTACTTTTTACTCTTTCCATCAATGTCTTTTTATACCTCTCTCGTTCGTTTTCTCTTTCTTTGTCGCTTTCTCTCTTTCTTCCTGTTTTTTTTTTCATCATTCTCGCTCTCTTTTCTCTTTCCTCTTAATCTTCCTCTCTCTCTTCAAAGCCTAACACGGCACGTGGTGTATCATTCTACTCATCAGCGCCCCCTATTTTTAAACTGTTCCATCAGCAATCACGCGGTAATTTCATGATTAATTTTTGGTGTTATGCAAAATATGACTGGCGTAACAAATTTTGTTGGCTCACAAGTTTATTGGCATAAGCTCCGAGCTTGCCTATAGCACATTGCAGTGGGCGGTTACACATCTATTAGAGACTATATTATTAATTAGTAGCAAATTCCCTTTTATGAAAAGTTACAGCTCTGAGACTGCTTTACTGCTTTTTCAATTTTCGTTTCTTACTCTCATATATACCTTTACTGGATCCCGCGATTTCAATTTTGCACAGACGCCGCAGTATTTAGGGCCGGTCCTGTATATGTCAATCACTTTATCTGTATTTAATTAAGCCATATTTTTTTCCACTTCTAGATATCCCAGCATGTACCTGGACATTTAACGAAGAAATCGAGTCTCATTCTGCTTGGTTTATGGTTTACGTTATAACAAGGTAAGTCCTGGCACACAACGGGCCATGTTCATGCATATCGTTGAAATTTCAATTGCGTCTTTCGCCCCGATAAAAGTCCTACAAAGCGGCTATTGGTATATAACATTGGTTCTCAAACTGGGGTCCGCGGTCGCTTAGGGATCCGCAAAGCAATTTTAGGTGGACCGCGAGACAACTTTAACCTCGGTACAGCAGCAGTTTGATTTGAAGTAAAATTTTGATGTCATGCTCTTACAGTGTTTCTACAAATTACGACACGTTCTACCGAAGACATTATTACGTAACAAACGTTGGCTAATGGCAAGTACCGTAAATCAGAGCGTGTTGTTTATGAATGGCGTGTGCATCTGATTGTAAATTTTCTCAGGTAAAAAAATAAATTTAGACATAACGATTCATATGTCAGATTTGGTTTTGCTGTGATATTCTGGGGGAAAAGAAAAACCACAGTGGCATCGTCCTACCCGATGTCGCTAACATGGCACTAAAAATGCTCATTCCATTTGCAACAACTTACTTAAAACAAAATTACCTGCTATTAAAACAAAATGTTGAAACAGAATGGACGTGACACGATATGAGAGTTGCATTATCCAAAACAGAACCCAAGGCAGAAAAACTAGTGGATGCCAAGCAGGCGCATCTATTTTATTAAACTGTTTTAATGTCATTCAATAGATGAATGCTTGAAATACTGCGTTGCTTTTTGCTTTATTTCTTTAGTGGACCGCAAGTCATCAGAAAAATTGAAAGGAGACCGTTAATGCATAATTTTTCAAAAATGTTTGAGAACCACTGGTATAAAACGAGCTCTTGGAAGTAACGGAATGTTTTCGGGTCGGCAATGCCTCCCCAATTTATCACACCCCGGGTAAGGTGGTGGGATTTTAAGCCTAAAATGTTTACCTGCTATGCCGGCACAGTTAAGTCTAATGCTCTAACGACTAGGTCATCGCTCTATTATGTTTTTACTACACGCTTGCTCAAGCAGGTCTCAATGCCCGTTTCTATAAGTATAGAACGTATCGGTTGAAGTTTACCAACTGACGTTTAATGCAAACAAGATTGCATGAATTACTACGCTGATGTACAGGGAACTATATGTAAGTTTACTCAATGCAAGATCCTAAACATAAAGTAAAGTCAAAAGAATACCAATAAAAGTATTGCGAACAATAGCCATCGCGTTCAATGCGCGGTCTTGGGCCAAGAACAACTATACATATGAGGATGTAATAGTAGTTAACAACTGGGCACGCGCGTGAAGAGTAACTTCTATCAGATCTATCTAAACGCAAAAAAATGTTTGCTCGCGTATTTTAATGATCTCTTCGTGTTACATTCACTTTCTTCTTAAGGTCGTTAGCATATTCGTTTTTAGTTTCAAGTCGTTTTTAAAAAATCTGTTTGTTAATTTCAGGTCAATTATCGGGTTTGCAATCCCCTTCATAATCATAGTTTTCAGCTACTTTTCAATAATTTTCTTCCTGAAAACGCGGGAAACGAGAGGAAAACTGACGGGAAAATGTCAGGTTGGTGGTTCTATTCATTTTAAAAAGCGGAAATCATCATTCTCCGATACCCTTTCCCTCTCTTGAGGGAATTATGGAATTATCTTTGGGTCAGACGTTTTAGTCACTAGTGACCTTGATCGGCCTACTGTCTTTTCCTTGTACACCAAGTGGCCTTAGGGATATTTTTGCTAATTTGTTGTTGTTACTAGTTTTATTATTGTTAATGAGCGCACAAAAATTGCTACTCTCCTCAACTAAAGGACCAATTTCTAATTTTAAGATCTTTAAGGACGGAAGTAGCCTCCAAAAGACTATCGCTTCCTTTTGTATTTATATTCCCTCCTATGGGATACAATATTTCACTCAATATTCAATGTTTTCATATTTAATATTTTAGTCATTTGATTTTTTAATATAGCTAAAGAGGAATTCTTTTTATTTCGTCACGCTTTTCAGCCTATCTTTCCTATAATATCGGCGCTTTAAAATCTTACCTTACCGGTATCGATGCTCGACTTTCGTGTCCGTATATTTGAGCATCTTTCTCATTCTGCTTACAGGATCGGGCAACCCGAATGGTTCTTGCAGTAGTTGGTGTATTCTTATTATGCTGGCTTCCAAACCAAGTTTCCAATTTTATCTTCGTAGCCCAGACCTTGGAGATTATGGGTAAGAGTTTTAAGTTGTGGAATAAGTGCCAGTACAACGGTTTTTGTTTGTGCGGCGCCAAATTAGCAGGAAGAACAACATTATGGCCCACTCACACATAAAAAAAGAGTCTTTTTAAATAAAACTCTAGTTTGTGATTGTTGATGTGTACTTCGCGTCTTTTAAAGTTTGTAAATATGTAGACCCAAGGATTACAGGTTAAAAGATCAATTCTTCTTCCTCGCCTCTGCCTGATTTCCCTTTGAGTTTCTATAAATATCACTAATGTTTACTAAACTCGGTTAAGAGGTTAAATCAACCGAAGAGTTTTTCTACTTGTGCTTACATACTATTTATTTGGAAAATTCACAAGAAAAAGACCTTTCATAATTTTGTATTTGAACCTGGCAAGGCGTATTTCAGGGGATTTTTACGCATTTTGTTGATTTTCGGAATAACTTTATATACCAATCCGAAAAATTTGTGATTTTTGACTGTTACATTGCCCAGACCCTGTAAATTAATGGTAAGAACTTTGAATCGATAAGTCGATTTAAATCGGAATGGTATATTTTATAGAAATTGATACTAATTGAAAACACATGAGAAATTTTTTTAAATTGGTTTGAACTTGACAGAAAGTTTCAAGTTGATAAAATAATGCTATTTGTAGGCGCATGAAATATAGAGTGTTTTAAAATATAAGCCTCACTCATTTCCTAACAAAGAACGAAAACTTCCAGATAAAGAAGTATTTTTTCTAATTACTTTATGTGCTTGAATAAAAAGAGTATTACTCTTATCTATTAAGAATTTGAATGTATTAGTTTTGAAAAAACAGCAGTGAGACAAATTTTTGAAAATAGATTCAATCCCTAGATACAAGCCTCAGGTCCCCAATACTAAAACAGACATGTTACGTGTTTTGGGATTTCAAATGAGAAAAACGGATGATACGCTATTTTAATACCTTACGTACTGACAAGACATAAAACAATATTCAATTGTTTTCCTAAATTTAAAATATTACTCATATCACTTCCAGTAGACGTTAGAAACGGGTAGACTTCAAACTCATCTTAATAGGTGGTATATACATGAGGGTTGATCTTGCGATATAGTCTAACCTAGGGGTGGGCACGGTTTTTGAATCAGGGGCCAAAAATTTTGCCCACCCAAACTGGCGGGCCATGTAAGTATGACGTAAAGAGTTACACTTTACAATGTTTACAGTGTTACAAAAGCAACAGTGGGGAAAACAATAAATCTCGTGCCCAAACTTAATTTAACTACAATATCAACAAATTTCTTGAGCTATTTTTTAGCTAAAACATCAAAATTTGGTTTCAGTTTGGTTGTGGCAACTGGCAGCATCAAGCATGCCAGATTAAATTAACTAGCGGGCCGTATTAGGCCCGCAAGCCATACTTTGCCCATTCGTGGCCTAACCACTCATGAATATTAGTAAATGGGTACACGTTTTTTTACATTCAACGTGAAAAGTTAATTTACAAAGTCTGAAATTGGTATTTTTATTCTTTAGATGAACCTGACGAGCCCAGTATGACGCATTACTACGTTCACATGTTCAGTTCCTGTCTAGCGTGGATACATAGTTGCGTGAACCCGATTTTATATGCTTTCATGAGAGAAGACATGCGATTAAAGGTAGGTAAATGTGCGTGAACCCGATTTCATATACTTGCATTAGAGAGGATATGAGACTGAAAGTAGGTAAATGTGCGTGAATCCGACTTTATATGATTTCATGAGAGAAGTCTTTAGATTAAAGGTAGATAAATGTGAGTGAGCGCAATTTTATATACATTCATTGAATTGGACACGAGATTAAATGTAGATAAATTAGCGTGAACGCGATTTATATACTTTCATGAAAGAAGACATGAGATTAAAGGTGAATAAATGTGCGTGAACCCGATTTTATATGCTTTCATGAGAAGAGAGAGAACTTGATATTGAAGGTAGTTGGAGTAAATGTGCTCAAATATATGAGTTTGTTATGTTTGAAATCAATTTTGCGTTTCCTATGTGGGCTATATAGTGTTCTCTGTGACTAATTCCTCGCCCTAAATGTTCTCGGGATGCCGCGAAATAAATATCAAATGAATCAAAATGGTATATTTTTAGCCAATATGCAAAAATTTATTACACCACTAGTTGGACCAAACCACGTCTGCGCCTCAAATTAAAGAAATCGGTTATAAATCGGGTAGTTAGTTTCCCAGGCTAAAAAGATTCAGGTGTTTCCAATACATAGTTGTTCACGGTATATCAGCGACCTCTAGTATAAAAGCTTTTAAAAGAGAAGGCGTATAGGCACTTCCTAGAAGTGCTTTTCACAAGTAACAACTAATGAACGAGATACTGGGATATTCTGGGAAATTCCCATTTTTATTGGCAGTTGGGGTTACGCCAGACTATCTACTTATCTTTCTTCTATGCTGTTATGCAAGAGGATCCTTTCACCTATATTGCAAGGATGCTGTAGCAAGAATCTTGCTGCACACTAACACAAATATATTTTTGTAACGTTTCGTCAGACGTAATAACTCAGTGCGCAGCAAAACTCTTGAATCAAATAGAATAGACATATTTTTGACAATCTGGGTGAAACTGTGTGTGATTTGGAGTAACCCTAATTTTTTACCCTGCAACGCCTGTGATTTAAATATTAACCTGTTTTATTTATTTTTATTTACCCCGTTTTATATACAGTAATTAAAACTCATTTATTTAACAGTTAACAGAAATTGTCAATTACAATGTAAAGCGATGTTGTGGCGGCACCACGTGGGAGAATTCACGGAAGAAGCAAAATAAACGATCGGACAAAAACGAGGTATAGATTTTTGTTTGATTTTAGTAATAGAAGGACGGCATAACTGACCATCTAATGGAAACTTTAAAAAGAAGCGATTTCGACGATTTAAGGTTCTTCTCGTAGGGTAATATCTGCATGAAGGGAAATTGTTTGGAATTTTGGTACTCCTAAAGTATGTAAACCAAGATGGCGGACACCGGAACGTAGTATGTGTACTAGGTTAGGGTTAGGCCATAATTTCAGGTAAAAATACTACGGAAGTCATTTGGGTAGTCCCCAAACAAGAAAAGTTGGAATAAAATTATGGCCTAACCCTACCCTGGTACGTTCCGATGTCCGCCATCTTTGTTGACATACTTCGGGAATACCGGAATTTAAATACAACACAAAACCATCCATTTAATACAGTGGTTTTAACCTTTTTATATTCTACTCTTCGCCTATTTTAAGACTATTCATTCTCCTTTCGGTATGAGTATAATTTCGCTTTTAGTTTGTTTTTAATCTTTAATGAATCTTTTACATTCTACATTCTTTACCATTCTTTTTTTTTTACATTTCACCCTTTTCCTATTTGAAAACTATTCATTCTATCTTTGACAGGAGTATAAATTCGGTTTTCAATCTACAATGAACCTTCAGCTGGTGATACGCACAAGTCGCACTCAGACTTTTATAAAGTCTGAATAGTTTATAATGTGTGCGTATATATGCAATAATAATAATTGTGCAGTTCTTTCTTTTTCTATTATTTCGCAGAGGGCGTGTCTATATGTTCGTCCGATAGGAGGACACCCCCTCTAAGATTTCACCCCCTAATCATCCATGATTTTCAGGTGTGACATCATACTAATATTTGAATATTCAGAAAGTGGCTCATATGACGGTGAAAATGATCAGTCAAATACATAACACATTTTTATAAGTTACAAATAGTTTTATCACTATCACTAACAACAAAAGATGTACCACCGCCTACATTTTGAAACTAACCCCCCTCCCTAAATAAAAAGCTTGGGAGCATGTTGGTTGGGACCATATGTACACGTTTCTTTCCTAAACATTACCACAATTCCTATATATGTTTCAGGGTTGTACACTAGGGTCACATGCCTCAATAAAGTCAGACGATTTGCTGCACGAAGGGAACCAACGAACAAAAGACTTCCCGTCAGTCACGGGGTCATTCAGGTATGCCGCGGCAGCAATAATTTTTTGGTCTTAATAAGATTGTAATGTCGCAAAAAATAGACAACACTGATGACATCATAAGTATAGGTGACGTCATGATTCATTAATATGTCATCGAGATAAGTTATGAAGGCACGCATTATATAATAACGCAATTACAACATAAGTAGACCTGCGTCATAATCCAATAATGTGTCATCGAAGTAAATTGATGGCACGCAATTTCAACAAATTTCCTGGACGATTTTTGACTAAAACATCAACATTTGGTTTATTTATGTTGTGGCAGCATCAGCGGACCAGATTGAATTACCCAACGGGTAGTTTGCTCATGCCAGCTTTAGCCGCTAACCCCTCCTTTCCCAACGTTTGACTATCATTTTCTGTTATTCATCTTCTAAGAAAAAAAATTCTCTATATCTATTTCTAATACATTATTGGAAGGCCAAATCAAAACAGCGATAACAAAGACGAAAAGCGGAAAGGTGTGAGGTGTCAGTAAGACCTTATTTCTCTCCATGCATCGGATCCATGCTCGTATGTGTTGCATAGCCTTTGTGAATAAATCAAAGCTGTGGGGGTACGGGTCACGTAAGACAATGACGGTCATCTAAAACGAGCCCTGTTGAATCAAAACATGTCCTCGAAAACGATTTACTGGTTGGATAACTCGAGAGCTTTAAACCAGTGAAGAAAACAAATATTTTTGGCTTTTCAACATCTCTAACTTTCATTGAAATACTTGATAAATACAGCTTCAAATTAAGATTTGGAACTAGTTAGAGGAACATATTTCTTTGTGATTTTTCATATAATTTTTTTTCATGAAATTCCAACATTTTACATTTTGTCTTTAAAAACCTACGTCCATACCCAATTTGGGTCTAAAAACGACAAAAAAGTCGTTGTCAAAATTACAATTTGTTGAATTTCTTTCCCGATCCAGAAATACGGAAACTTTTTCACCAAACCATTACAAATATGCTTGTTAAACATCCATCTATGTTGCATACATCAACACATGGAACGCTTGTTCTGATTATCACTTGGCACTGAAATGAGCCATTTTCATCTCAATTTAAGCTTGAAAATAGCTTTATTGATTTCAAATACTATTTTGTGGACGCCCACTATATGGTGGGACATACCTTGGGCTAGGAAGCGTCTTGCAAGATGCGCACCACATCCATTTGCATATGTATTGTGACCTTTTATTTATATTCATTTCCTAGTTCCGATTACCAATCATATATGCAGTGACTTTTTATTTTATTTTCATTTCCTCAGTGAAGTGTATATACATTTGAATTGTTCGCAAAACTGAATACCAGTTGTGCTTGTTCATACTATAAGGCTCTCTACTCATTATTATTAGTAAAATGACATTGAAATCTCATATGTAGAGTATTTCTGTAGACATATCGACTTGGACCTTAGGAAAGGTAGAAAAAACGGTACCCATGAAGTATGCGAACCAAGATGTCGCACAACCTGAACCCTAACCTGGTACACAACCTGACTTCAGGTTGTGCGCCATCTTAGTGCGCATACCTCAGGAGGTCCGAAAAAACTACATCGTTTGTTCTTTTACCAATTGATGTCTGGCAATAACCTTTATGTTAACTTTTTTTCACCACTCAGGGCCACGCATCCATATTGATTAATTACAACGGCATATTATTAACAGTTTTAAAATATTGTAATAATTAGATGGACTATGACAAACCGGCAAGTCTCGGGTTTTCTCAAAACTAACAGATTCGAACTTATTACCAACTGATTTACAGAGTTTTCTATGGATTGAAAGTATTTACAAACGTCTTATAAAAATAGGAAATTCTTTCCCACATCTAATAGCTTTATTTATGTTCAGATTGACAACAATTCACAAACCATCTATTGACGAACATGACCCGATAACCCCTGATGAATCTCTATTGAACCGTGAAGAAGAACCATTCAAGCATGACAACAATATTGACCTGACGATGCGTGATGACTTTGCGTACGACTTAAATGAAAAGGTAAGATATTATGGTATTTTAATTTTCCTCCGGGAGAAGAGAAAAGCCTGTAGGTCCGTTTTATCATACGGCACACCGGCGCTCTCGTAGTATGTGAACCAAGATGGCGGACACCGGAACGTAGTATGTGTACCAGATTAGGGTTCGTCAGACCATAATTTTATTCTAATTTTCCTCATTTCAGTTCTATTACAAGATCGGGAACTAGCCAAGTAACTCCCGTAGTATTCGTACATGAAATTATGGTACACATACTACGTTCCGGTGTCCGCTTTCGTAGTCCACATACTACCTGAGTACCGGCGAACCTAATCCTCGAGTCTAGTTGTTTCAGATCTTGCATACGAATATTTTGTTTGATTTTAATCGTACTAGATGTCGTGGTACGTAATATGATTAAACCGCCTTATCGGCTTTCCTCTCTTCTGGGATGAATATGAAAATTCTAAATCCCAAACCCTACCAGTTTAGCGTTCCAGGCAAACGGACTTTGAACGGAAATATTCATTTCTAAAAGATACAAGTTTTATGTCATTAAATTCATATCCTTACGATTGAATCATCATATTAAAGCAGTATAATGTCAACGTTGTCACACTAATTTCTGGATTTCGAACGCGAAACTTGATAATAATTTGCTTAACGCTATCTTTATTGCTTGGAATTATAAAGTGATGTACATTTTTGCCCTCGCCAAAATTCGACTCATATATCCACTTATCAACAACTTGTGTGAAAAAATTGAGCTTGCAACCGACTGGTAACAAGACGAGAACCGCTGTTTTCTCATTTTTTATAGCCATCTTGTAAACTGTGAGCTTTCTTCCACCTCTCTCTCTCTCCCTCTCTCTCTCTCTCTCTCTCTCTCTCTCACTCTGAAATAAAAATAACATCTTATTCTAGACGAAATCATCTTTTTTAAACACAAAGAACACTTATAAATCTGTTTGCAAAAAAGTTGCTATTAAAAAAAACTTTTTTTCTCAGGAAGACTATTAGTAATATTTTTAATATCTCTGTACTCAACTATGGTCATACCGGTACCGTGTATCTGAGCTTCGCTTTCTTGTTATTACAGGAGAATCTTCTGAGCGATGTAATGAACTCCCTGGAGCATGAAGACAATTTAAATTTACGTAATGATGACGAAATACGTGGGCGTGTCTCCATGGTTGAATGCACAAATAGTGACGTCAAAACTACACTGGCGAATGGGCACTCAGATTCAATCTTATAATTTTTTTGGAATTTCACACCAATATGGAAATACTTTACCTCAAATGACTATGAGTGTCTGTTTGTCTGGATAAAAGTCATGACCGAGCGAACAAAATGCGAAAATTCTTACCAGACAATATTGACTAAACGTGGTTCAAGTCACTGATCTGTATCTACTTATATCCACCTAGTACCACTAAGTCAATGTACCTATCAGTACCAACGGTGATTTATTTACCTCGAGCTTCGAGTTGGGAACTCGAGCAAGTGCTCGTTGCCAGCACAAAATTTGGCGGGGGGGGGGGGGATTTTTTTTTTGCAATATGACATAATACGACTCGTGTCTTTTGCTCTGAACAAGGTCAGATAAAGGCAGTCTTTGATATATAACGATATTTTGAATTATCCACAGATTTATTTCGATGTCAGCGTATGGACTCGAAAGTTTGTTTGACTTTATCGGCACTTGGCCGCAAAGTGAATATTTTATGAAAACAGATCAACATACAGCCATATAAGTAGTATAAATATCAGTCTACATCAGTGGTTTCTAACTTTTTTGTTGGAGCGGAACACCAAACATTTTAGAGGCTCGAGGAACTACTGTGCAATACTTCAGTTGTCTTTTTATTTATGTTTTATCACAAATCATTCATACTTCTAAGACTGTAGAACAGGGGTCGGCAACTTTTTGTCACTCGCGGGCCAAAATTAAAGGTTGCAAGTCATTGGCGGGGCGCTCTTTTTTTAGAATGTTAAAAACGAACGGATGAGCCACACAGATCAAAAGTTAAATTTTAAGCAACGCGGGGAGACTGACCATTTGCATATTTTTTGCGCCATCAAACCATTTGCACTCAGCAATAACTTTTCTGCGTTTTGCTGCATTTGTCTAATTATATTTAAGTTAATTAAACGCGTAATTGTGAATTATATACTTGTTAGATTATAATATAATTTAGTTTACACGTGGCTCAAAATAAATTCTGTTACGTAAAGAACATAGTCGTCAAAACAGCTAGTTTGTTACTATAATTAGGTGAAGCGTCGCGGGCCGGATTATACTGCTCTGCGGGCCGGATCAGGCCCGCGGGACGTAGGTTGCCCACCCCTGGAATTGTATAAACTATAAATATATATAAATGAAAAACGAATACTGGAAACATTAATGATCGTTGAAGTAAATCCGCCAGGCCGTAACGCAGCTCTCCTTACAGTTTTTAGCCTTGAAACAAACTCACAATGGCCGACTGGTCATACTTTTTTGTTGTTGAGGGGGGGAGGAAGTGTTTGGGGGGTTGGGGGGAGGAGGAAGCTGGTATAAAGACTTCATATAGTGGACCTAGGCTTCTTGATATCATCAGTCCCAAGGTCGGGTGGGGTAAGAGAATAGTTAACCAGAAATCTGCCCATATGCACTTGCTACAACAACGGTACATTAGCCAACTTATGATCTTATCCGAAAATGATATCGAGGGTTTTAACCGAAAAGGAAAGATGAGTTAATATTATTTTTGATTTTTAAACTTCTGCAGCCCTTAACAGAAATCCTTCGTAGTAAATATTGCATCAAACTATGATTCGAATACCTGCTTAAAAACACCTACATTTTTGTAATATTTTCAAATAAAATTTTGACATTTTCCCTTTGTCTTGAAACCGTTGATATGCTTTTTCAATGCCGTTTTTCTTCTCTTTATCTTTCTCTGATTGTGAGATTTATTCACATTGAAGTGTTTAGTTCGAAGAAAAAAAAATATCCATTTCGTTGTTTATCTTGTTTTATTTGATGAATAAAAGTTCTAAAATCACTAATTTTGGCTTTGATTGATTCCCGTATATTGAAATGAAAACACAAACTAAATTATATCGATTGGGTTTTTGTGGGACTAATGGCTTATCCTCCGTCTGTGCTGATGATGCGTATGTATGTATATAGGCAAGATTGGAGACTACTATTCTAGTGATATTCTTTCCTATGTATGGGACCAAATCGTCCTATGCTTATGCGCTTTACGCTTGCGTTTATATAAATAATGTAACGATGCTGCAAAAGAGTAAAGACAGCTATTTTGTGTAATTAAAAAGTCTTGCTTCACACTATCACAGATATATTTCTGCGGGGATAGTCATTTATCCTTCTTGACTACTTTTGCGCTGCTGGATCTTTTTGTAAATAATGCATGGATGCGTAGCAAGAGTGAAGATAAATACTTTAAGTAATTCAAGAATGTACACAAAAATCTTTTGAATTGCTCGAAATATGGCATACCCATAGTGACCGAATTTAAGGTTTTAGAAACATGTTCTTTTTTGTATCGAACTAACGACTTCCTCGTTATACAAAACATATTCATGTCATCACGTAAGATACATTAACATGACGCGCTTACGTAAACCTAATACCTAATTTTAGAAAACCAAATGCTAGTCGTCAGCAGACCTTACTAAAAAGGTAGGTATCACAGGTATCAGTCACTAAAAAGGTAGGAAGAAAAGGTATCCGTGATTAAAATGGTAGGTATCAGTAGATGACTAAAAAGGTAGGTATTCGTAGTAGATGACTAAAAAGGTAAGTATCAAAGGTATCATTGACTAAAAAGGTAGGTGTCAGTAGTAGATGACTAAAAAGGTGAAAAGGTTGGGTTAGGGTGAGGTATCAGTAACTCTAACCCTACCTTTTTAGTCATTTACTACTGATACCCACCTTTTTAATCATTTACTACTGACACCCACCTTTTTAGTCATTTACTACTGAAACCTACCTCTAGGGTCCGTCGTCAGCTGTGGTTTGAGTTACCCATTTGCTACGGTCGTCTAACGTGTAAAAACAAAAACAACGAATCGGGTTTGCTGATAACTATTGTAAATAAATTAGGAATGTACACAAGACTCTTTTGAATCACTCGAAACATGATATTTAAAGTTAAGTTACAGGAAATAGTATTATTAAATAGCCTAATGTTATTTAAAATTTCAGTTTCCAGCGATTTTGCAACAATATCTCTAAATTGAACGCATGAAAAAAATGTGCGAGGCCAAAAATGTGGAGGAACTCTGCTCCAAATTATTGCGTTTCACAGAGTCCAGAACACAGGTCAAGTAACATGAATATTCTCGCGTGATTTCATATTCTTTCGCTTTGAAAAAGTTCGTTCACTCTATTCTAGTAGTTTTTAACAGGGGTGACTTGAAACCCTAGGGTTACTCAATAAAGTTCAAGGGTTCCGGAAGATTCAATTTAAATCCGACAGTTTACATCTTTTATGTATATTGTTTAAATATAATAGAATGCCCGTTAGGGTTGCCACCATAATCACCTTGCTACACTCCAGAGCAGAGGTGTGCAAGGTTTTTGGACGGAGGCCAAAAATTTTGCCCACTTAGAATGGCGGGCCATGAGAGTGTGGCGTAAAAAGTTACATTTTATGAACAATATGTACAGTGTTACAAAAGCAAAAGTGGAAATCAACAAGCAACGTGCAAAAAGCTAAATTTACCCGCAATTTCAACAAATTCCTTGAGCTATTTTTAGCTGAAACATCAACATTTGGTTTCAGTTTGGTTGTGGCAGTATCAAGCGGGCCAGATTGAATTACCCAACGGGCCGGATTCTGTCCGCGGGCCGTACTTTGCCCATGTCTGCTTTAGAGACTACTTTGTTACTTATCGATCTTAAGATCGGTAAGTATATTGATAGGTATTTGTCTGTATGTCTGTCTGTCTGTCTGTCTGTCTGTCTGTCTGTCTGTCTGTCTGTCTGTCTGTCTGTCTGTCTGTCTGTCTGTGTGTCTGTTAGATGAACGCGATATCTCACGAACTCGTGGTTGAATCTGCTCCAAATTTTGCATGTGCATGCATCTCACCTCGGACCAGAAGATTTTGGGTTAATTATGTCGTATAATGAGCGAGTTATTAACTAATTACCAATCTAAGATCGATAAGTCTTCGGTCTCCGACCGATATTCTCGTTTCTTCATTGTTTGGTTTTCTTTCATATACATTTATAGTTCATACTTGTTCTTCCCAACCTTTTTCAGATCGCCATCCATTTTTATTGCTATTTTTTCGGGACCCACAGTGAAATAATGATACATGAGAAAGGAAACAATGTATTACCATGCAATTTACTATTAATGCAAAACTTGAGCTTGTATATATATTGGATATTATCAGATCAAGCCGAGGCTCGATACGAGGCAAGCTCACACGCAACGTAGCCTTAATACTCAACATATTGTGCTTTTGGCTCAAAGTCCTTACTTATCGATCTCGATCGGTACGGTACATTAGCCAACTTATGATCTTATCCGAAAATGATATCGAGGGTTTTAACCGAAAAGGAAAGATGAGTTAATATTATTTTTGATTTTTAAACTTCTGCATCCCTTAACAGAAATCCTTCGTAGTAAATATTGCATCAAACTATGATTCGAATACCTGCTTAAAAACACCTACATTTTTACCTATTGAAAATTTGGTTGTTGATAGATTTAGTTAAATTTGATTGTAGTGGTAACGAATGATGCTGTATTTTATTACAGGGTGGCAATTTTTCCCTAAATATTATTATAGTGAAACTGTCTATTTTTGCAGAAAGAATTCTTTTTTTTTTTCTAGATTTTCCCTAGCATAAAAAAGTTCTGTGCAACAAAGATGGGCCGCAAAAAAAAATAGGTTGAGAACCCCTGGCCTAGTAGCTTTCCCACAGTTTCCAACATAGAGGGGCTTACTGAAATTAATAATGAGACAAAACGCATAGTTCTAATTACTTATAGATTTTAATCGGTAAGTATGTTGACAGGTATTTGTCTGTCTGTCTGTTGCACGCGATATCTCACGAAAGCGGGATTGCATCTGCTCCAGATTGTGCATTCATCATATCTCGGACCAGAAGCCTATTGATTTTGGGCAAATTATGTCGTATAATTAGCGAGTTATTAATTAACTAGTGATGGGACACGCGGTGTCACTATAGAGTCATGAATAGAAACCGCAGTTTTGATCGATAAGTCTTCGGTCTCCGATCGATATTCTTGTTTTCATAATTGTTACCTTAAGTTAATGCCACAATATCCCAATCTAATCAAAAACTGTAAGTGACATTTGGAAATACGTCTCGACCCACCCTGAATAGCTTCGCGACCAACTAGTTGGGAGGCACTGGTTTCTATAATTCAGACGATTTGAACTTTTGCACAATGATTCCTCGAGCTTCTGGAATGTTTTATTGGGGTTCCAGTATTCATTTTTTATTTTATCACTGTAAAGAAAATACACTTTATGCCAGGGGTAACCAACTTCTCTAGTCGGCGGGCCAGATTTGGGAAAATGAAGTACTCGGCGGGCCGGATGATTACAACAAATTCTTCGGTATCCAATTTTTATTAGATGCTCATGGTGATGCTCTGGAATATTATACTGTCTATCTTGATACATTCTGGTTTAAACAAAGAAATATTCATAACCTTTTATTTGGATTAATCAAGAAAAGCATGCAGAGCGGAAAAAGCACGCGTGCTGATTTCCAGGTTTCTGAATCTTGCGAGATTTGACGGAGCGCTTTCACGATGAATCGGAATCGAAAAAGCAAAAAGTGATTACTCAGCGCCAAGACGTCGCCGGGCCATTAATACCGCACTTATCAAACACCAATATGACGGCGGAGGAGAAATTGCGTAATAAACCTACATAACTTTGACCTATTAATCATGAAAAGCATGCAGAACGGTAAAAGCACGCGTGCTGATTTCCAAGCTTCTGAATCTTGCGAGATTTGACGGGGCGCTTTCGCGATGAACCGAAAAGTATGATAACTCGGCGCCAAGACGTCGCCAGGCCATCCCGCACGTATCCAACAGCAATATGACGGCGGAAGAGAAATTGCGTAATAAACCAACGTAACTTCGTCTTTTCGGCTTCGGTAAAGCGATTGAGACGGTAGAAAACAGCAAAATGAAATTTTCCGCGGACCGGCAAAAAAGCCTCGCGGACCGGCACCGGTCCACGGACCGACGGTTGGGAATCACTGATCTAAAGCATATAGAACTTTTATTGTGTAAATTAGTTCTCAATAAAACATTCCCTCCCCCAATAGTTTTCTGAGATTACATCGAATTTTTAAAAGTATTATTTGACAGACCAACTTTTCTAATAGTCATCTTCAGTGTGAAACTTAACACTTCAGAAAATAGGGTGGGAGTTGATCTCGATGACCTCATGGTCGTATCGCTCCCTCCTGTCAATACCGAAGCAATTTTATTTGTGTTATGTATTTTTTTCGTATTGATGACTGTTTGTTTTTGGTTGACAAAATAATAAATCTGTTTATGTGGATATGGATTATGTTCGTGGAATGTTTACAACGCTTTCTGCTTTGACTTTATATCAACAAGTGTGTTAACGCAATTGTTTGTTCACTAAGGCAATTGTTTAATTTACCAGCTTGCACTGACAGTGCGGTGAGAATAGATCGGCAACTTTCAGGAATGATGCGTCGGACCACATTACAGGGTGTGGTTGGATACAGTCAGCGGGCCGTATGTTGCCCACCCCTGCTTTATGCGAACAATAGAAAGATTGTTGAATATGGCATTTCATGGTGGAAGGTGGCGCGAGAAACCAATCCCGCTCGTCCAGAAATTCGAAAACCTATTTCAATGGCTCTATTTCAATGGCTTAGTTCAGTGGTTCCCAACCTTTTAAGATGAGTTTCTCCGTCATTAATTTTGTGTTTTTGACCCCTTTCTCACTGTGCAATAAAACTTTCTATATTTGTTCATCTTTCAAAGGCGCTTTATATAG